TATTTGTTTCATATTTCTTATTTCATCCATTTTTTCAATTATTAGACTAAATTTACCAATAAATAGTTTGAAAATATTTTTTGCAGCTTTTAGTTTTTAATATTAATTTACAATATGGTCACCCAACACTTAACAATAGCCTCAACCTAAAGAGGTAGAGGAGCCAAATGGCTGGCTCACTGCTGCCAACTAGTGGTCAGAGGCTGAACTACAATATAAAAATGAACGCCTGGCAAGAAAGTTGACATTTTAAACCTAAATAAAAAATCGATACAGGGCTTTAGAATATCGATACAGTATCYGGAAATGAAATATCGRYATATTTCAGTGTATCYATATTTTCTTACACCRCTAATAAACATACAAAAACCCGATCTAAATATAAACCTGCAAGAACAAGAGCAATTTAGGATAGGCCTAAATGAGATTCTAAAACCTGGCCTCAGAATGAATGGTCTCTCTGCCACCTTTTAGCTTTTCAGACAAATGCAAGTTAGGCCATCTGATTGCTTTAAAAATAGCATTCAAGAGAACAGTATTGTATTTTTCAGCTTTATAGTGTGGAAACCCCTCTGGTGCATTAGGTCCATCACATGCTTCTCCTTTTGTGACCCTGTCTTAGTGTCAAAATGGATGGACAATTGTGTGAGATTCATATGGGAAACTAAATTTTCTAAATAAAACAATTATAAACCTCTAATATATTAAGACTAGTGCAAACCACAAGAATATTTTTTTTATTTGTGTGTGTGTGTGTCTTGTGTTATTGTTGGTCTCTGATGGGGTGAGCAGAGGGCCCACTGTTAAATTAATTGATATAGTACGAATAGTACTAATGTTTCTTTAATGTGTCATGAAATACGCATTTAAACTTAAGGTGAAACCTTGTGTGTTTGAAGGTTGCAAAGCAAGTCCCATGTTCCACCACACTGTGTCACTCCTCTCACACTGTTGCACTCATCTCAGCCAATCCCAAAATCTTTTTGTGTCATATAGCTAAAATGGCTTATGCCATTTTTGTGGGAAATTCTGGAGCTCTTGATTAAACTGAAATTGTGAATCTAAATATAAAATTCTTCTWATTTAAAAAATTTCAGTTTTCTTGATCAGAATTTGAAAACAGAGGATAAATCTGCCAGTCTGTTGCTGAAAGCAGTGGCTARTTTCAGTTATCTCTGCTCAAAATGTGACAAATATATCATTTTATGGTTCATTTTTAACCSTGAATCGAAGAATATAAAGTTTTTGTCAATCCAGATTGTTTGGTTTTTGTAAATGTACAAGTGCGTTCCTGTGAGGTGAAAGGTGTGTGTGGTTTTCTGCAAAAACTGATKTAATATTAAAAAGCCTAACATTCCTCAAAGGAAAACCAATCTCACGCCAGAGTTTTAACTATAATCATCTTATGATGGAGTTGRAGCCAATTTGATTAAATCTTAAACTAGTGCCATCTTATGCAGCATATTGGGGAACTTACAACTACAACCACACCACTTTTAGCTCAGTTTTGGTCAAATTTAACCTGATGCAGCCTTTTTGAAATGGGTTGAATGATGTCAAGTGTGCACTGCAATTATGTTCATTTAAACAAAATACTGCATCTGCAAGAACATTTACATTTAGCCTTTTTTTTGCACTTCTAGTCTGTTGCTCCAATTCTTAGCTAGTTTTCCTTAGTCAATAGTCTCATAATTATTTTTAGCTTGATGTTCTACTTCAAATCTTTCATTTTCACTTTGAAAATGTTTATACTTTTGAGTTTTACTCCRTGTTTACATTGTATTTTCTACACCTCAAAAACACTGCGTCAAAGTCCTTGTATGTAAAAATTCTTGGTCAATAAGTAGTGTTCTGATTCACCAGCTCTACAGATGAAGTGGATTTAATAAAAAAAAAAAACTCAACTGTTTCCACTCAATTGAATTGAGTAAAGGTAAAGTAAACAAAGTAAATGTGTTACCTTTACACAATTCAGTTGAGTGGAAACAATTGACATTTTTTTTAATAATCCATCTGTTTTTGAGTGTATATGCACATCCAATGATTACATATTGAATGTTTCAATAAAAGCTGCTCATTTTTTATGAGATATTTAGATAACAGGTTTACCTCCAAGACTACTAAAGTTTTAAGAAAAATCTTACGTATTGACTTGCACTCATGGCTCACTCATGAGAAGAATTCTCAGCTACTAAGATGTAAAATTTTAGAACAAGATCTATAAAACTGACAGTGATAAATTTATTTTTTTGTGTTTTCCAAGGTGATTTYGCTGTGGTGGCCYTCTTGAATCAATATGGCTGCAAAAGGTATTAAGTTGTAGAGGTACATTCACTGATCATTTCCTAAAGTTTTCATTAAAACMTGCCCAGGGTTTCTTGAGATATTTTGCTAACAGACATAAACCACTGACTCCAAATAGTTAATGGTAATTTTTTTAAAATTAATATCCTGCTCAATCATTTACTCTCACATGTTGAAGATCAGTCTCAGCCAGTACGACACCAAATTGAAAGAAAATGTCTGTAAAAATGACTGAGTTCTAGAATTTTTTGTGTTTTTAGCCATCTCGAGTCGAACGTACTTTAAACAACAATCAGTTCTAGATGTGCATCAAATAATTACTCTGTTCAAGTTTCAAATAAATGTGTTCATGAGTTACACAGACACAGGTAAAAACATCATTATAAAATCAATAATAGGAGCTTTACTTTATGTTTTGTTGAGGGTGAAAGGTTGTGCAAAATATGATGCATTTTGGGTTAAAATCATRGTTGTCTTCTGTGAAAACACATCCATTTACTTAAGAACACGTCAGGCCGGTGTTGCAACATGATGTAAGGGCCTGGCCTTATTAATGAAGCTACAGGGGATTAGAAACTTAGCAACAAACTTTGTTTTATAAAACAAGCCAATAGTGAAGCAGGTCAGTGAGACAGAAGAGCTGCAATCAAGTTCTGTGTAGTTTTACTGTTCAATAAACGTCTAATGAACTCTCAAATTAAATTAAACTAATTTACGCGTGCAGGACCGTAGAGAACTTGAACAGATTCTCTTTCTTTGTGTGCTCAATATATGAGCAGAAAATGCACCTATATTGTCATGATCAAAATGACAAATTAGAAATAATTTCACAGTTTTTACAAAAAAATAAAAAATACAGCAAAAGCAAACATGTCTGTGATTCAACATCTTGTCCTTCGCCCACACGTCTCAGGCTCATGGATTTATCACCAGCACAACCAAGGACGCGCAGCATGGGCACTAAAGTGAAGCCATGAATAAAACCTACAATAAATTTATATTCATCCTTGACATTTCACTTGTTGGCAGTAGACAGGTGCAAAATGACGACTATATTCCATTATTCAGAGTTCCTCTCATTCAGTTCAGGACAGATTTGAAATACATAGACATAACTTTTAAAAGATGACACAGATTATGCAAAAARACATGAACCATAAGTTTGAGCTGCCGATGATCAAAACAGCAGGTTGTGTTATGATCGAGTAGGTTAACTGTATTAAATCATCTCCAGCTCATCCCTTTGGGGACGTTCAGCTTTGGTGCTCCTGATCTAATCAAAAAGTGAGATTTTATAGGTTCAAGAGCACTCAGAATGGGGACACATCTAGATTTAACCCCTCAGATTAATTCCGGGACACACTTATAAATCACATGCAAAAGTGCAGAGGCAGAAAAGGTATGGCTGATCTGGTGATGATACCCCTCTGAGGTGGCAAAATAATTAATAAAAACCTACACAGCTAAACTGTCACATGTGAAGTGGGTGACATACCACTCTCACAGTGACATGTCAGTGGMTCTGCATACAGAGTAAATCATAGGACCTTGTAAGTATGCTATGCATCACCCCTCATGTATATCTTTAGTACCAGTGACGGCTGTTATAAGTGGGCTAGTAGGGCTAAGCCCTCCCTGGTTTTCACAATAAAAATGTCAAAATAAACAAGATTATACAATAATAATATAATTATATACAATTTATAAATAACAACTTAAAAATAAACACAATTTTAAAATAATGTATTTTATTT